AAAGATGCAAGGTGGGCTGGCTGTGTAGGGAGGTGAGGGTGTCGGGGGAGAAGGGGTCCTGAGATGCAGAAAGCCCCGGGGAATCATTTCCAATCCCACCTGGGGAGACAAAGCTTTCAGTTTCCTCCCTTCGTCCGCAGCTGGCCCTGCTCCCCTCCCCGGCCCATTTCACAGCTTCTGCCACGTAAAATCCATTAACTCTGACATTCAACAACTCTACCTTGGGGGGGGTGCCTGCCAGGAGAAGAGGAATGATGGGCACCCCTCTAGCTCCCCGGGAGGAGGGGGTGGTCTCGGGGGAGCCTAGGGGCCGGGGCAAAGTGCTTGCCTGCAGCAGAGCCGGGTCCTCTGCGCGGCCAGCTTCTCAGTTCCAGGCAGCATGAGGTCCCTAAGTCCCCATCTCATCACACCAGGCTCATCCCTAAGCCAGACGCAGCGCTTGGCTCGAGGTGCCGGACACATGCATCGCTCCAGAGCCTGGGCCTTTCATTGCAGTTACTCCACTCATGTGGTTCAGTGTCTGGCTCTCAGCATCCTTCAAGGCCTTGCCCTTGACTGACTATTGCAGCTCACTGGATCATTTCCCCTCTTAAGTCCCATGGCTGGTACCCTAGAGGATGTCCTGTTCTCCAGCTTGTCTGTGACTTAATGAGATGGATTGTGTCTCTCCCCTCAGACTGGGTTGTCTCCTCTGTCAAACTAGACAGTATCTTTTCTTAGAGGCTGTCTGGCTTGGACATAGCCAAGGTGGTGGCTGAGCAACAAAGGTGTCCTTGACCGAAAGCCAGGCCTTCTGGTTGTACCCATCCCCCGACTCTGCCTGTGTCCATTGCACAGAGTGGCAAACTGAGGCCTAGGAGGCCAGCTGATTTCTCCTAGGGCCAGTCACAGATCAGGACAATATCCTGAGGCATTCAAGGCTTAAGGCCACCACCCCAGCCCTGGGACACGCCCCTGACCCTGGAGGTAGTGCTGGAAGCAGGGGCTGAACCAGAAGACCCCTGAGGGGCACGGGCCTCCAGAGATTTTGCAGACACTCCCTCCAGCTGCTCTGCCCACCCCCTCTCCATTGTCCTAGCTGACACTTGGGGTTGCTTCTCGGGCTGCGGGCCGCGAAGCCCCTCCCTGCCCCCACCTCCCCGCCGCCTTCCCTGTCAAAGGCTCAGCGGGGCTCCGCTAATTAGGGCCGGCCCAGCCACACCTGCAGCGTCCTGGGAGAGGGCTCAGGCGGGCGCCCATGCGTGAGGCCAGGGTGGGGGCAAG